GGGGTCTTCTGAATCCAAAAGACCAGATGCGAACACAACTATTGTCTGCTCTCTTTCCCCTCCAAGCCTCTAAGCACTCGTTTACAGGGGCGAGGGCAGGACAGGCTTGAAAGTATCACATCCAAAGGGACACTCAAAGGATTCCCAGGCCCGATTTTGAGCGATCGGACCACGTGCTAGGAGCAGGCCCCCTTCTACCGTTGCTGGTCAGATTCAATCAGAGACTCTCTCATGCAATAACATAACATCAAACAAAATGCTACACCCAACCTCTTCGGTGTTCTAACTTACCAATTTATTTCTAGCACATACATTTTTTTAAATAATTTCTAATTCTTTCTTGGTTCCTGTCACCTTCGCTCTGATTTTCTTTTTTTCTTTCTAATTCACACTTCAGCCGTTGTTCTTTCACCCCTCATGTAATCGAGAAAAGGGAAAATGCCCAAAAGTTTCCGTTCTAGTGACTTACCCTCGAGGCTCTGTGACAGTGCAACATCGACGAGGGCACGCGGACCACACGCTGGTGACAGCTCTCTCTAGTCTCACACGCACGCACACACCTACCATGTCACGCCCACGCGCTCACACAGCCTGCACGTCACACCACGCGCGCACGTTGCGCCAGGTTGGCACGACGCCAACACTGCAACCCGTGTAGCCCAGGTGTGCAGCATCAGTGAGGTAACATGCGGTGCAGGTGTGCATTTGAGGAGGAACAGGCTGCACCGTGTAGCCCAGGTGTGCAGTTTCAGTGAGGTAACATGTGGTACAGGTGTGCAGGTGAGGAGGAACAGGCTGCACCATGTAGCCCAGGTATGCAGTATCAGTGAGGTAACATGCGGTGCAGGTGTGCATTTGAGGAGGAACAGGCTGCACCGTGTAGCCCAGGTGTGCAGTATCAGTGAGGTAACATGCGGTGCAGGTGTGCAGTTGAGGAGGAACAGGCTGCACCATCGTGTAGCCCAGGTGTGCAGCAGGCTGTGCCGTTGAGGTCTGTGTAGGTAGCTGTGTGTGATGTTCACACAGTGACAAACTCCCTGGACGACGCATTTCTCAGATTGCGTCCGTGTCGTAACGCGATGCATGACTGTGTTCCAGAAGTTGCTGACAAAACGGGATCCTTATTTATCATCTCTTGCACCTGTTTATTCCCTGAGCCGCTCCCACCTCGGCTGCTGCCGTGGTCCGGACTG